TGGATTACGTAGTGTCCTTTGAAGAGTGTTGAGTTTGTTTTGTTGGGCAGCAAAAAGAGGCTCGATTTGTCCTACTGAAGTTTGGGGCAGGTCTAAAGCAGTGCATACTGTAGGGGTAAAGTAGCTCTGTTCCTAAGGTGCGGACTTGCTAATGGGTTAATTTAATCAAAACAGGATATTCAGTGAGATCTTTCCACTCTTGCTGTTGAGAACAGATGCCAGCTCTGTGTGACCTCCAGAGCCCCCTCTTAGTTCACAGAAGCCTGGGAAGTTTCTGTCTGCCAGGCATCAGGAGATCCTGTCCTGCGTGTGTGCCACTCAGGCAAGGCCTGGTGAGGCTTCCTGTGTAGCTCCCTGGTGCTCCTGCTCTGGGCGGCTCACTCCTCAGGTTCCTTCCACAACACATTTCAGCTCCTCAGCATCCTCCAGCGATTACCTTGGTGGCCTGCACTGAAGTCCTTGCTGTCTGTGTGGGCTCCAGCTCTCTCTGCCACGGTTTGAAAGGGATACCAGGCAAAGAACTTGGGTGAATGAGGAGCTCATCTTGTGTAGTTCGCTCTGTTCGAGGATAAGCACTCTTTGACGTCCAGTGCCTTCGTTCAACTGCTATACACATTTTATCTAGTTTTATAGTTGTTTGCAATGGGAGGTAAGTTTATTACCTGTTGCTCCACCATAACTGAAACCCAAGAAAAGTTTAAACATTAAAAGGGGAATGGGGAGGAGAGCATAATAGGGAGCCTGAACTCGGGTTGTGGATCTGAGGCCTCAGGAGTCTGAGAGCCAAGTTTTCGCTGACAGCAGCTGGGCCTGGTGGGCCTACCCCTCTTCAGTTCTCTCTGACCTGGCAACAAAATTGGACTGAATACAACTTCCAGCTCCAGACAAGACAGATAGAAGTCAGTCTTGCATCAAGACTAACCCTCCTGTCAAAAACAGCTATGAAAGTTGGACAAAACATCGATGCCAGCTGTTGGAAGCCATGGGAGAACAACCAATTCAGGTGAGAACGGAGGGTTTCTGATTCTTGAGAAAAGGGAGCATTGTGTGGTGGGGTCCACGTATGTTCTGGCTTTTCCATGCAGAAAGCATCAATCTTACTAGAGTGAGAACACAGAGGTTGGAGTTGGGCTGCCAAAGGGGCTGGAACCTTGCAGAGAGGAGGAAACGACAGAGATGGAGCCAAACAGCTGCACACAAACCTCAGAACTGATTGTCCTGCTTTGGAACAGCGGCTTAAAGTCCAAAGAACTAAGCAGGTGTTAGAAAGCCTCAATGTGCTGGGGAGACCAATTGGAACTGAAGTTCTTTCAAGGTGGAGAGGCCTGGGTAAACACCTTGGTTTTCACCTGAGTCCCCGGAAGGGTCACACCCTAGGAAAGAGTTTGAGTTATGCCCTAGGACCAAGGTGAGCCATGTCAGCCTAATCACAGCAGAAAACCAAGCCTCAAAAGCAGTAAGGTGATCTATCAGAACCCGGCTGTCGGACTGGCGCTCGGTCACGGGGGCCACTGTGGCACGGGGAGGTGAGAACTGCAAGACCACTCGCGGAGCTGTGGGAGGTGGGTGATTCTTGCCTCAGGCAGCAGCAGCAGTAGCAGCAGCAGCCCACATGGCTGGTTCTTTTCATATGGGCTACTCAGTAGTGGCCATTAGCCAAGGACTTACCCAGCAGAAAATGCATCAGCCTTACTGGGCCTGTGGACCAGTAGAAAACATATCTATCACTGGGACTTGCCTGGTTGCCACGGAGGCACAGATAAGAAGGCACAGCATCATGCATTCTTAACACTGTTCGTCAACCTGTTTACTTAATACTGTTTTTTTCTGGATGAAGATAGCATCATCCAGAGTTTTCTAATTTTGTATTCAAAATGTGTTTCAGCCAATAGAAAAGTATGAGTCATGCTAAAAAAAAAATGAAAATCAAGAGAAAAAGCAGTTAATGGAAAGAGGCCTATGGATGTTTCAGAAATTAGTAGATTTACATATGTGTGTGTGTGTGTGTGTATTTAAGACTTATTTATTTATCAGAGCCAGAGTTACAGAGACAGAGAGAGAGAAATACACACAGAGAGGTCTTCCACCCTCTGCTTCACTCCCCACATGCTGCGACAGCCACAGCTGAGCCTATCTGAAGCCAGGAGCCAGGAGCTTCTTTGGGTCTCCCAGTTGAGCTCAGGGGCCCAAGCACTTGGGCCATCCTCTGCTGCTTTCCCAGGCACATTAACAGGGAGCTGGATCAGAAGTGGAGCAGCCAGTAATCAAACTGGCACCCATATGGGATGCAGGCTTTGCAGGGAGAGGCTTAACCTACTTCACCACAACGCCAGCCCCACGAGTGCCTTTAAATAGTCATAATTAAAATGGTCAGTAGGGGAAAAGAATAAAATAGATGAAAATTGGAGAATTTAAAAAAAGAATTATAATATATAAAAAGAGTCAAATGGAAATACAGAACTAAGAATATAACATCTGAAAGTAAGAACTCCTAGTATACAGAGATGTAGCAGCAGGCTGGATATGGCAGAAGACAGGGGAAGTAAACAGGAAAATCTCCAGAATGAAGCATACAGAAGGAAACAAAAGGAAAGAAAATACAGCAGAGAATAAGAGACCTGTGAAACAGGAGTAAAAGGGCCGGTGCCGCGGCTCAGTAGGTTAATCCTTCGCCTTGCGGCTCCGGCACACCGGGTTCTAGTCCCGGTCGGGGCGCCGGATTCTGTCCCGGTTGCCCCTCTTCCAGGCTAGCTCTCTGCTGTGGCCTGGGAGTGCAGTGGAGGATGGCCCAAGTGCTTGGGCCCTGCACCCCATGGGAGACCAAGATAAGTACCTGGCTCCTGCCATCGGATCAGCGCGGTGTGCCGGCCGCGGCGGCCATTGGAGGGTAAACCAACGGCAAAGGAAACCTTTCTCTCTGTCTCTGTCTCTCTCTCTCACTGTCCACTCTGCCTGTCCGGAAAAAAAAAAAAAAAAAAGAAACAGGAGCAAAAGGACTGATGCAGGTGTAATCTGCATCCCAGAAGGAGATGAGACAAAGTATCAGGACGATATAAAAACATAATTGCTGGGGCCAGCGCGGTGTGGTGGGTAAAGCATCCCATATGGGCACCAGTTCATGTCCCGCTGCTCCTCTTCCCATCCAGCTCTCTGCTATGGCCTAGGGCCTAGGAAAGCAGTAGAAGATGGCCCAAGTGCTTGGGTCCCTACACCTGTGTCGGAGACCAGGAAGAAGATCCTGGCTCTTGGCTTTGCATTGGCCCAGCTCTGGCCATTGAGGCCATTTGAGGAGTGCACCAGCAGATAGAAGATCTTTCTCTTTCTCTGTCTCCCTCTCTCTCTCCCCTCTCTCTCTCTATAACTCTACCTGTCGAATAAATAAATCTCTAGAAAAAAGTAGAAGGGGCTGATTTGGTAGCACAGCAGGTTAAGCTGCCACCTGAGATGTCCCTTTTCAGAGTACCCGTTGAAGTCCCGGAAGCTGGCTTCTGATTTAGCTCCCTGATAAATGCTCTTGGGAAGGCAGCAAAGACAGCCCAAGGACTTGGGTCCCTGCCATCCAAATGGGAGACCCAGATAGTGTTTCAGGCTCCTAGCTTTGGCCTGGCACAGCCCTGGCCATTGTGGTCATTTAGGGAGTGAACTAGCAGATAGAAGACCTCTCTCTCTCTGTATGTCACTACGCCTATCAAATAAATAAAATAAATCTTAAAAAAAAAAAAAGACATCAGGGCCAGCGCTGTGGCTCAGCAGGTTAATGCCCTGGCCTGAAGCGCCAGCATCCCATATGGGTACCAGTTCAAGACCCGGCTGCTCCACTTCTGATCCAGCTCTCTGCTGTGGCCTGGGAGTGCAGTGGAGGATGGCCCAAGTTCTTGGGCCCCTGCACCCACATGGGAGACCCAGAAGAAGCCCCTGGCTCCTGGCTTCGGATCAACGCAGTTCCGGCCATTACAGCCAATTGGGGAGTAAACCAGCGGATGGAAGACCTCTCTCTCTCCCTGCCTCTCCTCTCTCTGTGTAACTTTGACTTTCAAGTAAATAAATAAATCTTAAAAAAAAAATAGACATCGACTCACAGATTTAAAAAAAGAAAGCCTTGTAGGGTTTTTTGTTTTTGTTTTTGTTTTGTTTTGCAGGCGCATTATAGTCAAATTGCTGAAAAACAAAGAAAAAAAATCTTGAAAGTTGTCCAAGTGAGGAAGCAGGCCTATTACTTTCAGTACCATTCTAAGACTGTCAACTATCTTTTAGACAGAAATGACAGGATTCGTGGACAGTGGAATGACATCTTTAAATTAGAGAAAGAAAAACCCTGGAAACATGGATTTGTTTACCCAGTGAAAATATCCCTCAAAACGAAGGCAAATTAAAGACATTTCTGACAACCCAAGGCTGAATTTGTCACAGGCGGAACTTCACTGTAAGAAATTCTAAAGGATGTTTGTCAGGCCAAAGGAAGAGAATTCCATATGGACACATGTAAGACAACAAACAACATTATGAAAACGCAAATAAGTGGGTAAGATAAAGGAATATTGACTATTTAAAGTGACAGCGCATTCCTTCATAACAACACACCGTGTTATTTACAACACGTCTAAGTGGTGAGCAGCACCACGTCCTACGGCCTCCCTGTTTCTGGGCCAGCCCTCCCCCGTCTCCTCGGCCAGAACACCACGGTTCTCCCAGACAGCCAGCCCTCCCGCCGGGTGCCTCCTCAGGGGGGTCCACGCCTACGCCGACCACCCAGCACAGGGGGTGCCCCTTCCGAGGGTCCCCTCAGGCCCCGGGGTTCACCGTCAGTCTCCTCGCCTGTGCCTCCTCTCCTCTCAACACCCAAAACCAACACGCACTCCACGCAGCCAGGAGTTCTGTCTGACTCCTGAGTCCCTGGGGCCCCGGCCTGGCCAGTCTGGGCAGCAGAGGACGATTATGGGCTGGCCACCTGCAGGGAAGTGCGGGTGCCGAGGGCTCCAGAGCGCATGCGTCTGCGGCGCCCCAGCCCCGCTAGGGCAGCCGGCGTCTCCCTCAGAGGCAGTCGTGGGGCCGGCCGGTCACTGAGCCAGGCCGCAGGCGTTTGACCAGTGCCGGCCTCCACCTGCCCGCAGACCTTGTCTCGGTTCTCTCCGTTGGTGGACCCCCAAGTGACTCGTGGATGTCCACAGTGCAAGGTCGGGAGTCAGGGCACAGAGCGGGGGCGGGGCGGAGGTAGGGAACCGAGGGACAAGCAGGCGGGTTCCCGCACAGAACGTGCCCATCTGCCGTTAGGTTACTCGGTGCCCGGACAGCTCGCAGAAGCAGCCGGGCCTCACAGAAAGCCAGACCAGGACGCCATGTCATGTGCCTTTTGCCCCTGTCCTCAAGGAGCTCAGCTCCACGGGATTCCGCGCGGGTCCGGGTTCCTGTGACAGCCTCCCTATCCCATCTCCTTCCCCAGCTTCAATGCACCGCCAGCCCTCGGTCCTCAGGGCCCCTGGCTCCTGCGGCCTGAGGCTTCCCCAGGGCTGTACCGCAACGCTACTGGCTGGGCCTTCCCGGCGTCGTCGGTGTCTTCCTCTCCACTAGGGGTCTCAGCACTGGAGTCGCTCCCTGGGGCCTGGAAAACTCCATCCGCTCAGTCGTTTATACTCACGCAGCTCGAGGCAAGGGTTACAGCTAAATCCTGGCAAGTGGTGGTGGTGGGGGATGGCGGGGCCACCGACTAAGCCCCTAAAGGTCTCTTAGAGCCAGGTCGGGGCAGCGCCTGTCGCTGGGTGTCCCGTGGAGGGCTCCGTGCGCCCTCTGGTGGCCATCCTCATTTATGCAGACACAGCCGTCTGGGCAGCAAAGCTCGCAGAAGGCCCATGAGTGGGGTGCGCGGGAATGAAGGCAGGGGGTCACCCTGGCCTGTTAGCTGTGGGCAACGTCAGGATGGGAGCACTGCTTGCCCTCATAACTGATACCACCAATGGTGGTGTCTGATGGCTCAGCCAGTTTAATAAAGCCATCTTTCTACCCTCACCACTCTTCAACCAGGAAAGCATGCTGTCCATGCTGTGTGCACTCTCTGGGGTCTCTGATTACAGCAGATAACGGAGGTAAACATCTTCCTCATTCCAGGCAGGTTCAGGATAAGGAATAAGATCAGATTCTGTTTCAAATCAACATCAGGTTCTGGACCAGAGTCAAGGTTAAATGCAGTCAGAGGACAAACGATAGAACCTCCTCCTCATCATAGGAGAGGCTTGTGTTTGCCTGTGAATCCCTCTCTGTGTGCATGCATGTGCACACATGTGCATGTGTGTGTCGTGGGTAAGGGCCCTATTTCTAGGAGTCATGTCTCACTAGGTCACTGTTTTTCAGGCGCGAGAATCAAGCTTCTCACAGATATATGCCAGTGTTTGAGACTTGGAAAAATGCTAAATGCCAATAAATGTAACATTACATCATGGAAACTGTCACCTGAAGCCCAGCCATGTGTTCCTGGTCATGCACGGAACATATTTCTGCAGGATGTGGTGTACTGGGATATGTTTGAAGTGGTGTGAGTCATCTAGCCTCTAGAAGAATGAGTGCCCTGGCCTCCTTGTGGTGGGTCAGAGTCCTTGCACAGTGTCCCACGGGGCTCTCAGAGCAAATTCAAATGATGATGTCTACTCAAGTGACGGGGGAGGGTCAGAGGCACAAGCAGAATTGAAATCAGCAGAGTAGTTGAGGACAGGAAAGGGTCATGGAGGGTGGGGTCTTTGAGGCAGGTGTGAGTTGGCCTCTGTGAAACTGGTGACTTGGGCTCCTGTGATTATATGGTGGGAGTTTGCTGTCAGGACCAGCAGCTGCTAGAACATTGTGATTTTGTGCAATGTAGCAAAAGTCAGGTCCTGTTTCAGTTCACTTTGTTTCCCTTTGCTGCAAAGTGGTTATAATGACTATGCAAATCCAGGATGTCTGGGATACAAACGAGCTCCTGGGCCACACAGGGCAGCACTCTACGACTTGATCAGCCTAGGCACACTCGTGGATGAACTGTCTCACTCCGAAAAAAGGACACCCATTGCCTCACTCACGGGTCACTGCAGCAAGATGAAGTGCATTCATTTAAAAATAAGAGGGGGGTGGGTAATGAGCCTCGGGGAGAGGAAGGGTGGCGCCAGGAGAGTAGATGCTGAAGCCATCATTAAGTGGGTGGTTACCTTACAAGGCAAGCAGTCTGCAACTGAGGGAAGGAGATGTGGTGATGAGGATTCCATGTCAGCCTGAAACCCAGAAGTGCTGACGTGTGCTCCCAGGGAAACCAGTTTCTCCGCCCCTGCCCTGTTCTGGCGTTGTTTCGGGGCTGCCACTACTTCAGTGAGTGGGACCTGCTGTAGGGTGACAGGGTTGAGGGGGTCTGGATGATGAGTGGGGGCCTCGTTCCAAAAACGGATTTTAGCTTGGGGGTCAGAGCATTCTGACTAACGAGTGAGTGTAGGCACACAGCCTCTCCTGTTTTACCGCCTCATTAATTCTTTATTATTATTTTTTTTATTCTTTGGTTAACCAGCACAGAAATGGTTTATTGTACCTGTGGTACCCTTAGCCACAAGTGAGAACAGAACTGGCCCGGGATGCCACAGGCCCAGGGTAAAGGGCCATCAGGTATTTTGGTATCAGCAAGGTGGGTGTCTCACTGGTGATTTTGGCAATCCAGTGGTGCTGGGAGCTTCAGATCCTTCAGGGGAAAAGCTGTAGATAGTAGTGGGCAGCCCAGCAACTTGTGCCCAACTTGCACCTGGCTGCATTCCTAACTTCTGCTGCTTTGGCCATGATGGGTACACAAACTCACAGTGTAACTGGACTTCTGCCTCATCTTTTACATTTCAGCCTTGTGTTCACTTCTTCCTCCTCTTGGCTCTCATGGCATGGAGGTTTCTAAGAAGATAGCCCTAAAACCGAGAGAGACTCCTTGTTAATGCCTTTTTTTTTTTTTTTTTGGATTTGTTTATTTGAAAGAGAGAGAGAGAAAGAAATTTTTCTTTTGCTGGATCACTCCCCCAAAAAACAGCAATGGACAGAGCTGGGCCAAGCCAAAGCCAGGAGCCAGGAACTCCATCTGGGTCTCCCAAGAGAGTGGCAAGGGCCCAACTCCTTGGGTCGTTTCCCACTGCTTCTCCAAGTGTATTAACAGGGAGCCAGATTGGAATCAGAGTAGAGTCCTCAACAGGCACCCTTAAAGGATAACAGCATCACAGGTAGTAGCTTAATTTGCTGTACCACAAGGCTGATGACTCCTCACTCTTTTTTCTTTTTTAAAGATTTTTTATTTATTTATTTGACAGGTGAGTTACAGACAATGAGAGAGCGAGAGAAAGGTCTTCCTTCCGTTGGTTCACTCCCCAAATGGTCACAACGGCCAGAACTGCACCAATCCAAAGTCAGGAGCCAGGAGCTTCTTCCGGGTTTCCCATGCAGGTGCAGGGGCCCGAGGACTTGGGCCATTTTGCACTGCTTTCCCAGGCCACGTGCCCATATGGGATGCAGGTGCTGCAGACGGAGGATTAACCTAGTGTGCCACGGTGCCGGCCCCTACTCACTGACTCTTAAATCTATTTACTGCACGGGGCTGGAGCTGTGTTGCAGTGGGTTAAAATGCTGGCCTGAAGCACCGGCATCCCATATGGGTACCAGTTCTAGCCCTGGCTGCTTCTCTTCAGATACAGCTCTCTGCTCTGGCCTGGGAAGGCAGTAGAAGATGGCCCAAGTCCTTGGGCCCCTGTACCCATGTGGGAGACCTGGAAGAAGCTTCTGGCTTTGGATCAGTGCAGCTCCAGCCATTGCAGCCATCTGGGGAGTGAACCGGCGGATGAAAGACCTCTCTGTCTCTACCTCTCTCTGCAACTCTGACTTTCAAATAAATAAAAAATAAATCTCTAAGAAAATCTATTTACTGCTCTTCCAGATGCCATTCCTCAATTCACATCACCTGGATGGCTCCAGCCCCCTCCCCAGTCACCCTCAAGCCCTGTTCTTCCTTCTTCCCCTTCCTGCGCGCACGATGGAGGAGGTGCTCCTCTGAAATCCCAGGCTGATCCTGCCCTTTTCTGGCTTTTGTTCTGGGGTGGCTGCTTCATGCTGTCAGCATCTGATTCAGATTTTTTTCTGGGTCCCTTGAGGTCCCAGGCGTCCACCTCTGGGGCATCTGAAGCTTTACCTGTCGTTACCCCACCACCACCACTACTCTTCTTGCTCCCAGAAGGTCTTCCTTCTGTTGGTTCACTCCCCTAATGGCCGCTACGGCTGGCGCTACGCCGATCCGAAGCCAGGAGCTGGGTACTTCTTCCCAGTCTCCAATGTGGGTGCAGGGACCCAAGCACTTGGATCATCCTCTGCTGCCCTTCTGGGCCACATCAGAGAGCTGACTGGAAGGGAGCGACTGGGACTAGAACTTGGGGTATCGGCACCGCAGGCAGAGGATTAGCGAAGTGAGCCACGGTGCCGGCCCGCTCCCAGACTTTTTGACAATGCCTAAAACACTGTTATCCCTCCGAAGCCCAGGCCATTTGAATAGCAGATTAAGTCCAGTGCCCAGCAGCTCTCCTCAAGCCTCACCCCCACCCAGCCCTAGTCCTCAAGCAGCCTCAATAGGGCTTAGAGCTGAGAGAGAAAAGAGAGGGAGGTGCAATTCTGAAAAAGGAAACATTTAAAAAGTGTGCTTGGCCAGTGCCACGGCTCACTAGGCTAATCCTCTGCCTGTGGTGCGGTGCTCCAGGTTCTAGTCCCGGTTGGGGTGCGGTTCTGTCCCGGTAGCTCCTCTTCCAGTCCAGCTCTCTGCTGTGGCCTGGGAAGGCAGTGGAGGATGGCCCAAGTGCTTGGGCCCTGCGCCTGCATAGGAGACCAGGAGGAAGTACCTGGCTCCTGGTTTCGGATTGGCGCAGTGCGCCAGCTGTAGCAGTCATTTGGGGGGTGAACCAATGGAAGGAAGACCTTTCTCTCTGTCTCTCTCTCTCACTGTCCACTCTGCCTGTCAAAAAAAAAAAGTGTGCTGCACGCTGTATGCATCAGAACATCAGCACTTGTAAGCACCATACCCATCTGACACCTGATATTTGGGACTTGCACAAGTTCAGAGCCTTTTATACAGGTTGGAGACTTGATAAGGTGGGGCTAATGTCCAAGCCCGCTCTTTACTGTGAGGAGTCTGTTTTGGGCCTACTGGGAAGTTACTTCCCTTGAAGGGCCTGGGTGCTTTAGCAGTTGCTCAGCCAGTGCTGCCCTGCAGTCTTAGATGGCAGGGGTCCCCTGGGGAGGCAGCTGGGATGAACTTGTAGCCATTCTAGGGGTCTGATTCAGGTTTGCACCCACAAGTGGGCTCAGGGGTTGGTAAAGGACAGCCTCTTGGGGTCCAGTTGGCCCTGCCCAGGGCTGGCCACACAGGCTTCTAGAAATTTTGTCAGATTCCCTTTTCCTCCTCTAGGGTCCAGTACCAGGCCATAGGACCACAGTCCCAGACAGACTGTTTCTGAAGCTTGAAGGTTACCACTAGGTGGCCCCTCTCCAGCTGCACTTCCTGCCCTCTGCAACCGGCCTTTCCCTGGTCCCAGTGGAGGAAGCTGGGGTGGGCTGCGGGCTGCTTCCGAGGTTCAGTGGACAGCTCCGTGCCTAAGGTGCTGAAGAGCAGAGACAGATGCTAACATACACAGAGCCCTGTGTGTGGGTGTGGCCTTGGTTGATCCTGGGAACCCTGCTCTGGAAAATTTCCTGGAAGTTTAGATGCTTACTCCATCCAGCACAGAAGTTTCTGTTGTCAACTCATGGGGGACCTCCAGGCACTCCTCTTGGGATGGGAGTGGAGGGCACATAAGTCCATGTTGCTTCAAGAAGCCACTGGACGGAGATGTTGCCTAGGGGCCGCATGGAGGCTAAGCCTTTCTGGCAATGTTCTGGCTATGCTGAGGTCAAAGGTCACAGGCTGTGCCTGGTCTTGAGCTTGAGGAGAGTCTCTCAGTCTGGGTCATTTCATAAATCTCAGGCATATAGTACCTTCTATCAGCAGCCTTCACCAGCTGGAAAGAGATGGGCCTTTCTCTCCCTGGACGAGGTGGGCCTCTGTGCACTTGCCAGTTTTCCACATTAAATAGAGACCCTTTGACATTCACGGTCCTGGAATCACCAGCTAGGCCTCAGGTGACTATCAGCAAATGTTTGTTGAGTGAATGCATGAATGAACACAACAGAAAGGTTATCAACAGTGTGGTGTGTGGCTTTGTTCAGACAATGGATCTAGGGAGAAGGGCTGTGAATCTCTGTAATGTACTTGTATGGATAGTTGTCCAGGAATAAGTGTTAAGTAAGTGACACAACCTGGCGTGTTCAATGAGCTCTGCTGGAAGCTGTAAGAGTGTGGGGTATCTACTCATGTATATATTTTTGTTTACTATTTCCTGTTCAGGCCTTAGACGCCAGGTCCTATGCTACAGCTGGAGACACCATGATGAATAAAATGCCTTTGAATGTTGCCAGGTAGCATGACATCATTCATGAGGAGCTGTGGGGCCATGGCAGAACCTGACTCAGGTCAGGCCCAGAGAAGACTACTGAAAGAACAAAGCGTTTGCTGGAAGTTGTGTTCTTGGTGGAAGGAAGGACACATCCAAAGGTCAGGACACTGGAGAGTGCCTGGAGGGGCTGGGGCATCAAGTTTGAGGCTGCACATGATTAAATAGGACATCAGGACTGGATAAAGATTTGAGTCTATCTTTGGGACAGTGGGACACCTTTGAAGGGTTCAATATGTGAAAATGACATGATCAGAACCATTTATTTATTTATTTGAAAGGCAGAGTTACAGAGAAGGAGAGACAGAGAGTTCTTCCATACACTGGTTCACTCCCCAAATGGCCACAACGCCTATGCCTGGAGCCAGAAGCTTCATCCAGGTCTCCCCCATCGTTGCTGTGGTCTAAGCACTTGGGCCATCTTCTGCTGCTTTTCCAGGCACATTAATAGGGAGCTGGATGGGAGGTAGAGCAGCTGAGACTTGAACTGGTGACCCTATAGGTTGCCAGCATTGCATGTGGCGGCTTAACTTCCTATCCCATAATGCCAGCTTCGCAGAATCATGTTAAAATATTCCTCTGCCTACAGAGTGGAGGAAGGAGAGGAGGAAGTGGTGGGCCTTCTCCAGGTGACAGGTGGTACTGTCCTGAATTTGGCATATGACGGCAGGGGTGAAGAGAGGTAAAAGGATGGAGTCACATCCATCAGATAAGATCTCCAGTGTGAGGATACACTAGGGAGGAAAAGGAAGCAATTGGGAGATGGTGACTTCATTTCCTGAGATACAGGAAATGCATGAACAGAATTAGTTTGGGTGGTGTGAGGTGAGGTTGAGGAGACAGTTTGTTTCTGCCGAATCTATGGCTGGAGTTTTTGCCCCAAAGGTAGCAGCAGGGGAATTCCCATAAAGCACTTCCCCCAGTTGTCCTGAGATGTGGCCAGTTGGGATTCCAGAGAAAGAAACACCAAAACCTCAGGGTGGTCAGTTGAAAGCTTTTATTAAGGGAAGTTACATGAAGAGAAGGCTGCAGAAAGACAGAGGATGTCCTACTTGGGAGCATCTGCCACGAGGCGTTCACAGTATGGAGTTTATGTGAGCATCGGTGACTCTGCCTCAGAGTTGGGGGCAACTTCTTTCAGTGTTTGGGCAACAACTTAAATGCCTTTATCAGTTCCTGGATGGTCAAGGCCACAGCTTGGATTTAAACCTGCAGAGGAAAACATGCATCATGTTGGGTTATTTTGCATTTCTTAGGACAGAAAAACATGGAGGAAGCTGGGAAACCCTACAGGAGGTGAATTCACTGATCAAGGGGTTCTAAAGAAAAGGCTGTGACGATGGGTCAGGAGTGGCCCTGCTGGACATGCAGAACTGAGGTAAATGGGTTTACATGGGTTCAACCTCACTTGAGGGCATATGGGAATATTTAACATAGCACACTGAGTGGCGGCCACCCAAAAGATTCATCTGTATCCCAATACCTGGGCCCTGTGAATGTAACATTATTTGGGAAAAGGGACTTTGAAGACATAGTTAAGTCACAGTCATGAGGTGAGGTTATCCTAACTACCCCTATCTCCAGTGTCAAGTATTTTTATAAGAACACAAGCTGAAGAGAAGACATCCACAAGGAGGAGATGGCCGAGTGAAGCTCGAAGCAGAGATTAGTGTAATGCAGTGAAAGCCAAAGAAACCCTAAGAGGCAAAGGCGAATTCTCCCATTGGAGGGAGCACAGCTCTGTCAACATCTCGGATTTGGACTCCTGGTTTCCAGAACTGTGAGAGAATAAACTGCTCAGGTTATGTTTTTACTTATTTGAAAGGGAGGAAAAGGAGGAGGAAAGAAGAGAGTGAGCGAGAGCAAGCGAGGGAGAGAGAGAGAGAGAGATCTTCCATCTACTCACCAAATGTCCACAACAGCTAGGGTTGTAGCAGGCTGAAGCCAGGCATATTAGCAAGGAGCTGGACCAGAAGTGGAGCTGCCAAGTCTCAAACCAGTGCCCATATTGGATGCTGGCGTTGCAGGCGGTAGCTTTACCCACTGTGCCACAACCCTGGCCCCTGCTCTGCTTCCAATCTGGTTTCCTGCTGGTGTGCTTGGGAAAGCTGTGGAAGATGGCCCAAGTGCTTGAACCCCTGTATCCATGTGCAAGATGAATTCCTGGCTCCTGGCTTTGGCCTGGTCCAAGACCCAACTGCAGTGGCCATTTGAGGAGTGAACCAGCAGATCTGTCTCTGTCTCTGTCTTTGTCTCTCTGTGTCACTCTACCTTTCAAATAAATAAATTAAATCTTCAAGAAAAAAAAAAAAAAAAAGCCAGCGCCGCAGCTCAATAGGCTAATCCTCTGTCTGCGGCGCCAGCACCCCAGGTTCTAGTCCTTGTCAGGGCGCCGGATTCTGTCCTGGTTGCTCCTCTTCCAGTCCAGCTCTCTGCTGTGACCTGGGAGTACAGTAGAGGATGGCCCAAATGTTTGGGCCCTGCACCTGCATGGGAGACCAGGAGAAGCACCTGGCTCCTGGCTTCGGATCAGCGTGGTATGCCGGCCGCAGTGCACCAGCCGCGGCGGCCATTGAGGGGTGAACCAACAGAAAAAGGAAGACCTTTGTCTCTGTCTCTCTCTCTCACTGTCCACTCTGCCTGTCAATAAATAAATAAATAAATAAAGGTTGAGGTGCTTGAGAGATAGAGATGGCGCAGTTAGTTATGTGAGTCTGGGAGTCAGGGGGAAGGGCCAGGGCCAAGAGAGAAATATGTGAGTCACTGTGTATAGGAAAAAAAAAAAACAAAACCAAAAAAAAAACCAACTCTAGAAAGAATAGAGAGCCTAGGTTTGAGCTTTGAGGAACTCAAAACCTCTGGTGACCAGTGGGAAGAAGCTGGCCAGAGTTGGCCAGAGAGATTGGATGCAACCAAGGGAAATGAGGTTCCCAGGAGGAAGGGGTCCCTGCTGGGGTGTCAGATGCTGCTCTGGGCCTTGGCAGATGAGGACTGAAGAAAGGCCGTTGAATTTAGCGACTTGGAGGGGGCACAGAGTTTACTAAGACCTAGTTTGGTGGTCCCTGGCAGCTGGAAGGCTGACTGCAGGACCTGAGGGGCTGGAGGGAGATGAGGCCGAGGAGACAGATTCTGACTGAGTTTTCTTTTCTTTCCTTTTTTAGCAGAGGTTTGCTTATTTATTAAAAATATTTATATATTTATTTGAAAGAGTTACACAGAGAAAGGAGAGGCAGAGAGAGTGAGGTCTTCCATCCACTGGTTCACTCCCCAATTGGCTGCAACGGCTGGAGCTGTGCCAATCCGAAGCCAGGGGCCAGGAGCTTCTTCCAGGTCTCCCACGTGGGTACAGGGGCACAAGAACCTAAGCCATCTTCTACTGCTTTTCCAGGCCACAGAAGAGAGCTGGATCGGAAGTGGAGCAGCCAGGACTCGAATCGGCACCCATACAGGATGGCAGCACTGCAGGCAGTGGCTTAACGCGCTACGCCACAGCGCTGGCCCCATCTGACTGAGTTTTCTTCTGAACGAGGAGACAGACACCCATGGGTTGGTGGGTCACAGGAGGGTGGGTCTCCCTAACAGGGAGCATATTTTAAAGGCCCACGGGAAAGGGCCAATCAGCAGAGAAAAGGGGCGATTCACAGGGCCAGCTCTCGAGCAGGGGAAGGAGACAGGGAGGCCTGGGCAGGCAGAGAGCAGCTTTTGTGCGTCGCAGGAGGTAGCAGACGCAGGAAGGCTTCGGTTGGGTTTTCTCTGAGCTCAGGCACGGCTGGCACACGCCGGCACAGCGGCCTTTCCCTGTTTGTGTGCGTCCTGCGTATTTCCGCCTGTCCGTTTTCCCCCCCGGTTCCAGGCTGCCTGCCTGCCCAGTGTGCCACGGGGAATATCCACCCTGGGTCTGGGCTCGGCTCCCTGATGAGATTCTCAGACCGGGTTTCCCCTCATTCATGAGGAAGCAAGTTCATAGAGCAGGCGTGGGAACGCGCTTGGCCGCCAGGGCCTGCTCCAGCTCAGGCCGAGGTGTGCTGCCTCCCCGCCGTAATAATGGCCTAGTAGGCTGCACAAGGCGTCCGTCCTCTCCGGGCCGTGTTCTAGGAAATAGTTTGGGCAGCCCAGCATTCGGTGGCTCCTCTGTCTGCACCTCAGGCCCACGTGCACCACCAGGAGCGCCTCCGCCTCAGCTCAGGGCAGTCTCAGTCCTCCAAAGACTTGATCTCCAGGCCCCCGGTCTTTCTTTCGCCACCGGCCTGCCCCTCGCCCGGGCGCCCTTGGCCTCCCGGAACCTAGCGGCCGTGATGGGGGGAGGAAGGGCCCATGTACCCAGCGGGACCACCGAGGAAATGGGCCTGAGCAGAGGGCAGCGTGGGACGTCCTGGCGGCGCCCGCCCGGCATCGCGACGTCGCCCTCTCCGGGCTCTGGAGACCCGTCGCCTTCCACAGGTGGCCGCGCCCGAGGCGGGCCGGCGGGCGCGGCGTACGTGCGGCGCGCGGCGGCCGGCATGAACGGCGCGCGCGGCCGGCTCCCGCCCGCCGGAGGCCCGCTCCGCCCCGAGCGCGGCGGGGCTGCCTAGCCTTCCAGGCGGCGGCGACCCCAGCGCGAGCTCCAGAACCGCGGGTCCAGTGGGCGGGCCGGCCCAGGAGCGGGAGGTGGGGACGTGGCAGCGGCTCAAGCGGGCGGAGCCGGCCTGGCGGGAGGCGGAGCCCCGGAGGGGGAGGCGCCGAGCGGGCTGGGCACCGCCGCGGGAGGTTCTGGAAACGCCGGGAGCGGCGCGTGTCCAGGTGAGCGAGCCGCCCGCTTGGCAGACGTGCCCACGGCGGGGACTGGGCGAACCGGAGGCTTGGGGTGCGTTCTGCCCCGCGCGGGGGTGGGAATCGGGGCCCTGCGCCGCCCGCAGTCCGCAGCGCAGCCCAGGGCACAGCCCGGCGCCCTTCGCGCGGCTCTGAACCCGCCTGGGTTCCTGTCCCGCCCGCGGCCCTTCCAACCCCGGTGGCTCCCTTCCTGCCCGGAGCTCGGCGGCCCGGCCGGGCCAGGCGGAGCCCTGTCAGGCTCCCGGGGAGGGGCCGGCCTGACCCGACGGCCGGCCGCGGTTGGAGGCGGGAGCGGAG